AGTTGTTGTGAAGCACTAGATGACAGAACATTTAGTACAAATGGGGCAAATGTGGTTTTTGAGAATAGTGGAGGAGGGGAAAAACATGTCGTCTTTTAGTTCATGTGCTGCACCATCACACAAGCTAAAGGTTTCTTCAGACTTTGAAGAGTGGGGGGAACGGTGAGAAACTTGATGACAGCAGCCAGTGTTATTCTAAATCTCCCTGAGATCTGTTCACCTGCTTTCAGGTCATACTCTCTAAAGAGTTAAAGAGCTAGGAGCTTATTTTCAACGACTTGACTTGTGGCCTATATTTCCTAGTAATGTCTCTGTTATGATGTGTATTTAATTTTAATTTTTATGTATGCTTTACTTTAAATGACATGTATTTTACCTCTGGAAATAATTGAATTAACACTTGAACTTGTGTATGTTTGTGCGCATGCAGGCAGTGGCTGCCACGCTCTAAGCTGGTGCCGCTCGGGGTAGACGAGGAGCTGGACAAGGAGAAGATGCTGGAGGGCAGGAAATCTAACATCCGCAAGTCAGTGCAGGTGGCCTACCACCGCGCCATGCAACACCGCAGCAAGGTGCAAGGAGATCCCAGCAGCGAAACCAGTGACAGTGACTAAATGCACAAAACCTTAAGTATCTTGCAGGTACTGTGGAGTATATTTCTCTATAGAGAGCTCAGCCCTACATCACAGAACACAAGAAACACAAGTGGGGAAAAAAATCCACTACATTGGCCCCGAGACGCACACTAAACTGTATTTAATCTGACTTCTAAAATAATGTATTTAAGAGAATTGAGAAAAATGGTATTAATAATAATCATGCTGTGGTTAGAATCATGATTTAGGCTGTTCCTCAATGTATGTTTAATAACAAAAGAGAGGTTTACAGATTCAAAAAAAGTCAAGAATAGTATTACACTATGTGGCATACACAGCTCTGCCTCTCCCTGTCATTCTTACACATGTAGTTTTACATTTGAACAGGGAAGCGCATGTAGTGGACAGCAAATGCACACCCTGTGGTTGCAATGGCTGTGAAAGCCATTGCTCCAGCAGATCTTTTTTCCCCACCTCCAAACAGGCCTTGTGCTAGAGTCCAGTCACTGATCAGATGAGCACAAAGAGAAACTGCTGCAGCCTGGACTGTGGGCAAACCAATGTTCATGTTATTTATTCTGCTTATTTCTACCTTACAAGGCCCACAAACTCATTTCACCATGGACTACTTCTGATCTCTCCAGCTACACGTTATTGTGTGGTCCTTTTGTTTCGCTCTGTCTTCATCATGTCTCCTGTTTATACGGTTTTGCTAACGTATGTCTGTGTCACACAGGCAGCTGTTGAATGAATAATGAGGACTAAACTGAAACACATGATCGCCTCACTGTCTGTCTTAGTCTCAGGCTGAAGGCTTTAGAACTTTTATATATACAGATTGCATAAATATAGACGTTTAATAAAAACAATTGAGGTTTTTTTAACTGGTGTGTGTCGTGTTGTGGTCCCTGCGTGTGTGTGTGTGTGTGTGTGTGTCCTAGAGTGGACTGTTTTTGCTCAGATTTCTTCCTTTTATTTCTTTGGAATTTCCTTTTTTGCTGACCCACCTATTTATTCTTGACAAGGAACTAGTGAGTGCTTGCTTATCACACTGTATGTTTTTGATAACAATTCACAGCACTAATGTTCAGGTGAGATTTGGTGTAGAATTAAAACAAAGAAAAACTTTTTGGAAAGGATCATCAACACTGCAAATACAAGTACTGTATACACTGATCAGCCATAACATTATGACCACCTGCCCATTACTGTGTACAGTCTGCAGCGTTGGGTTGGCACTCGTGTTACTCTGAGGCTCACTGTACACCTGTGAATCTGAAATTTGGTGACCGTTTAGTGAAAAACTTATGCAAAAGGAGTGAAAACTAGTGGTGGTGAGGACAAGTAAAGATAATGTTTTAGACAAATTCAACAGCCGCCTCAGGAAAGGTGTGATATCACCACTATAACCGCTGAATGTTTCTCTTCATACAGACCAATGTGCAGTATTTCTCATCTTCACCCATTTGAACAAAGATTCAAACGAAATGGGATCTTTTGAAATGGATGAATGAAATTTAAAGGTTTAATCTACAGCAGATCAACCCCGTCATCAGTGAGCCATGGGCGTCCGTGACCCTGTTGCTGGTTCTCTGTTTGTCCTTCTTTAGACACAGTTGGTAGATGCTAACCACTGCAGACCAGGAACACCCAACAAGACCTGTGTAGTGGTTCAAGTTACAGGTTAATGTGGACTATGTAATAGATTACCATCTGAGTAGGTAGATTACCCCTAACAGTATATTTATAGCCAGTCAAAAGATGCTTACATAACTCGGACATAACTTCAGCCTTGTGTGAACTGTTCATGTGCTCACTTTTAGGGTCATGTTTAAAAAGGGCAATGACACGTAATAGCCAAGCTGTTTACTGTAAAACAGGAAGCCAAGTTTGGGAATTGATGAGAGCCAAAAAACGATCTGTGTACAAAAAGAGGTAGTATGCTGCTGTGGTGAAATAGAGTGTGTGTGTTTGGGACTTGGACTGTACTGTAGGGCCAACAGTGACTGACTGAATCTTGGACAATTCTCATATCTAATACTATTGTTTATTTTTTATGTAGAGACTGATTCTGTTTCCTATCTTTCAAATTATTGAACTGCTTAGAATTATTGTACTAATAAATAATCATTGGGATGATTTGCCTCAATTGGTTTAGTTCACATCAGACCTTAACAATCACAGATTTCTCTTTGGCATCACGGACATTGGACAACAATCTGAAAGATAGGAAACACCTGCAGTGTGGGAGATGTTCTGACCCGTCTAGCCAGCACAGTTGGGTCCTTGTCAAAGTCACTCAGATCCTTAACCTTGGTGGCCTTTTTTTGCTTCCAACACATCAGCTTCGAGGACTGAATGTTCACCTGCTGCCTAATGTACCTAACACACTGACAGGTGCCACTGTAACGAGATAATCAGTGTTATTCCTGTCAGTGGTCATAATGTTATGGCTGATTGGTGCATGTTATATTGATTTTGGCTTAAATACTCAAGTTAATGTCCTCTTATAAAAGTGCACACACTATATGTGTCACAACATCTGGCACAGTGAAGAAACACACTGCATTGCCCAATGCCGTTTTCTTCATCATATCCAAAGGAGTTGCATCACCAGAAGTGTGGCTTATACTGCGCTCTAATGTTTACCAAGCTGAAAACACTCCTTTTAAGTGTTAGTGGATGACTTTTATGTGATGGTGTCACAGGTAAAGTAGAGTTCGAACCACTGACCACATGTGCCTCACACTGCTTCTGCAGGTTTCTTGCTCTTTCATGGTATGTTAAGACAGACTTGCTGCTCAGACACGCTTTACAAAAACATTTGCAATCTACATTTAAAAAAAAAAAAAATTGACTGTTTACATTACTGGTTTCTATATGAGTTAATTTGGCAGTGATGACAGTGAGTATGGATTTCCTCTCAACAAGCCAGAATGTTTAATCAATCTTTCCGCACAGGGTAAAGATCCCCCACTCAACTAGAACACCTACTTACCACAACATCTACGGCTTCAGATTTGAAACCAAAGCAACAACCCTCTCAGTACAGTAAAGCTGCCTTGTTTCCTGTTCTGAGCAGTACTCATAATGTGAGTGGAAACAACTGATAAGCATCAGTAGTTGTGGCAGGGGGTGATCTTATGGTGTTGTGGAAACAGGTTATCACCTGTTTTCTTTTTTCCATTTCAGCTGTAACTTTTACATCAGCTGAATCCTGTCAGCATCATCACTTTATTGGTCTCTGGTGGAACATTCACTAGATACCCAGCAGTATATATAGTACTTCAGATTATAAGAATATAATCTGGTTAAAACTAGCTCCCCCTTTACCACTTGCAACAAAATGTGATGTCTACACTAACACCCCAGCAATTATAATTCAGTAATATGATATACACTAAGGTGACATGGACCATTCTAAATAATGAACAGTTTTAGTATTTTAAGTCTGTTTTTATGCTATATTTTGTACTTAAGTAATGTTTTGAATGCAGCTTTTACTTCTAACAGAGGATTTTTAGACTGTGGTATTGCTACTTATGAAATCGAATCAAATGTATTTATATAGCACTTTAAAAACAACATCCAGCTGACCAAAGTACTTTACATGGCAGAATAAAATCACAATAAATGACTAAAATAGAGTAATCTGAGAACTTCTTCCACCAGTGACTGTATGTTACATATTTAATTGATCAAATAACCCAGGAACCAAATAACACCAGTTTCTTAAAATCAACACAATCTTATGCATTCATATGTTTGTATGTAGCTTTATTTTAAGAGCTAAGTTGTCCCCTGCTCACCTGGATGAACACATATAAAACAAAGCTGAACTAAGATCTGCTAGCTTCTGTTTAATTACATGCGGTTTTCAGTTATAGTGTAGATCTTAACGCACAACCTGTCCACAGCACAGTACAAGCCACCGTTCATACACCCCACAAATGAACTACAATGAAAGAATATTTAAATGTACAGTATTTCCTTTGCAGACATTCTTCAGAGCCTCTGCTGAAGAAAGTGTATGACCAAATCATTAAACATTGTGCCTATCCTGGTGTGCAGAAATTCTTGTTTGTATTTATATATATTTGTTTCTTTAGCATGTTAACATTTGCCAGATTTTGACCTGATGGTGGAGATATTCATAGGCTCACCCAGTTATAACAGTATATTCTGAGGGGGGACATGAATGTAGGTGCCAGCTTTCATAGCAGTGCATCCAATAGTTTAGAAATATTTCATAGCCTCATAGCTGCGCTAGACAAAAGGATCAGGGGATCACCAAAAGCCATTAGAATGCATGGTCTGCTAACCATGGATGACTGTAGCACACTGGGTTTGTTTCAGGTTCAACTAAAGGGAAACAGTCAGACAGTCCTTGATGCTCCTGCCTCCCTGCTGTTGCCGAGGCTTTGGTAAGAGGCGGTGCTGATGTGGCCCTGATTATTCATGCAATTTTCTAAACAAACGCCCAAGTGTTTTAGTTAAGTGCACGGCCTGGGAGCCTGAGAAACAAGTAGGCTGTGTGCGGTGGGTAAGAGACACCGTTCATGCGTCTGTCGTTTCCCCCGGGTGTTCACAAACAGCACCAGTCTGAGGAATCTCGGCACAACTTTACGCTCTTACCAGCAAAAACCGGCTACATGACCGAGCGAATAAACACCCCGCACGACATCCTGGCTTTTAATTTTGGGAATATTTTATAATTTGGATAAATATTCGATGTTTAAAATGCGTCTTGGCACCGCGCTGCTATTTCTCACCGCAGTGGTGTCTCCTCTTCTGCTGGAATGTACCCCAACATGTCAGGTGAGTTTAAGACCACTGTTGGTTCACATTGGACAATGGAAATGCTGTGGAGTGGTAATAAGTAAGGGGGAAACGACCTTTAATTGTTTATGAGTGTATATCCACAAATTACATACGAAAGCGCCCGGGTTTGTTTTTGTGGTGATAAGTTCAGGGTGGGTAGATGCTGCTTTGTTAATGTTTGGCAGTTTCTAAACTTGTGTTCTTCTCTATCCTCCCTTATCTTTACCGTAGATGGAAAATCTAAATGGTGAGTTTTGTAATTGTTGTGGATTTTCATTACTTAGACCCTAAACTCGTTTCAGCCTGCTGTCCTAATACTCCACTGTCTGCACAGGACATGTTGAAGGAGGCTGTTCTGTCAAACTGACCCCAGGCCCTGTCCAGCTTCCTAATACTTCCCACTCTTATTCTCAATGTGTCACTGTCCGTGTTTGGATGACGACTGATGGTAATAGTCAAACTCTAGCTCCAAAGTTCATTTTGTTGTCTTGTACACACAGATTATACATTTCAACCTTTCCAAATCCCTCATTATGGCTGATTAAATATTGAAAAATGTGTCTCATTGTTTTTTTTTCAGACTTATGTAGGGGCCCCAAGATTGAAATCCATTCATCATTTGTAGAGATATTTAGCCCAACCATGAACAAAAAGAAAAAGGTTGGACTATGCACCTGCCCCTAAACTCTGCATATGTATAAAATGTCATTTTGAGGTAGAATACATCTCTTTGCTCCTTTTCTGTTCCCTCTTTTTTTAGTGTAGCAAGAGAAATCTTCATACACGGGTAAAGTGCGTCGCACAGCAGTCGACACATGGAAACACCAGTGTTACCATGGTAGGAATCACCAGTGTTACCATGGTAAGATCAACTTTCCAGTCTTAGCCTGTAATATGCTGGTTTTATGAGAATGACTGTGTTGATGCTGGTCTATTTTTGTACTAATTTCAGTGGGTGTTTATGCATAAATGTGTCAAGGCTGAAGCAGGAAGCACTGTTTCCGTGACCTACAGTACAGCATCAACAAGCTGCAGTGACAGTTACACGGTGCGAGGTACAGTTTAAGATTTCTGTCATCAGATGTCACATTGGACCTTTTAGGTTTATCTGTCCATTAATTCTCTCATGCTGTCTTCATAGAGCAGCCTGTAACTCAGTCTGAAGACACGATGCACATATTTATTGCTTCGGCATGACTTTCTGAGGATATCCTTACCCATCACATCTCTGATGTCCATCATGAATAAACATCCAAAGATTTGCTTAAAAATTACACCATCAGCCATAACATTATTACCACCTTCTTAATACTGTGTACATGAGAGTCGGTGAGGCAGTTGGCTGGTACTCGTGTCACTCTGCGGCTCACAGCGCATCTTGTGTGAATATATTTGCTACCATAGTTAAACTGTCAGAAAGAGCGCAAATTTGTCTAGCATTCTGTGAAAAAACATGTTCAAGGAGTGAAAATGGTGGTCGTGAGGACAAGTTAGAGTTAAAGACCTGCAGTGTGGGAGATGCTCTGACCTAGTCGTCAGCATCACAGTCTGGTCCTTGTCAAAGTCACTCAGATTCTTACACTTGCCTGTTTTTTCTGCTTCCATCACATCAACTGAATGTTCACTTGCTGCCTATTATACCCCACACACTGACAGCTACCACTGTAACAAGACAATCAGTGTTATTCCTGTCAGTGGTCATAATCTTATGGCTGATCAGTGTACAGAATAAACACACTCCCAAGAATCATCATGTTTTAAGGTTTTCTTAGTATCAAAGTGACAGTTGTCTGAGCATCCAGTGGTATGTTGCAAAAGGGTTGAAGTTGTAGACCATACTGTAGCAACACAATATTTCCTGTTTCAATCATTTAAAACCCCTCAAAATATGAAAAGTGTACTGCCATACTTCAAAGCATCATTATAAACAAAAGAAAGCAAACAGATAGTTATAACAGTGGGCTGCATAATTCATTAAGTGAGCTTCTTCATATTGCAAAATGAAAAACAGCATAACAGCACAGCATGTCCATCAGCATCAGCATGGTTCTTCTATTGCTGGAACACTGACATCTGCATTTGTTATGTTTCTCAACGGATGTATCCAGGTGTTTCCTTCAGTCGAACCATTTGTCAAGAATGATGCTCACATCCTGTTGTTATTTGTTTGTGCAAGTTAGATCCCGTACCAGACTTTAATCTGTCTGTGACTCCATTGTCTAAAAACATCACTGTAACCGTGGAGCCTGGGTACAAAGTGTACGCCCGATGGTGTTACAATACAAATGGAGCCATCTGCTTCGGTGGCCTCGGTGGGCCACGTTGCCTCTATACTGTAAGTATTAGTGGCACACATACCTGTTTGTATGCACTTCTGGTTGTACACAGTAAAGACAAGACAAGGCAAGTTTTTTTCCTGTAATGTATTTATATATTTTTTTTTCCAGATTGATCCATCTCAGTCTCAGTCAGCTCATCTTAGCATCCCTTTCCTGCTGCCCTGTCTGTGTGTGGAGGTACTGTGAGCTTCATGTAACCTTTTGATACAGGCAGTATTGTTATTATGTTGTTGAATTACTGTGGTGCGTATTCATTCCTGGATGTCTTGTTTGGGCTGACAGGTATTTTACACATACAGAGATGCCCGACGTAATAAGAAGTGTCCATTTCAAGATGAACGACTTGCTGGTAAGTGATGATTCATGACAGAGTCAGACTGGGAGTGGGGGGGGGGGAAACATTTTACAAAGACAGCTCATTTTAGAAGTTTTTATTTTACTGATGTTTTATAATTGACAACTGCACTATGATTCAGATATACAAAAGAGGGGTGGTCCCCTTTTTTTTCAGTGATGCCTTAAAGTTATTCACAACATCAGAAATTTGAGCAGAGGATATTATTTAGGTCTTGTTACAGTTCATGCTGTACTGCTTGTGTTATTTCTATCTGTCCATTTTTAACACTGAACACAATCACAGAGATAGTTCAGACTATGGCTGATCAAAGGATTCTGGAGCCATCTCCCTTTCCTTTCACTGGAACTGCTGCCAAAGATTTAGAGTGCATTGTTTCTGGGACGACATGTTGCTCTAGAGTTTTTCATGTGTAATTTTTTGCACTTTAAGTGGCACTAATTTAAAGGAATAGTTCCACATTTTGCTTATTCTTGCTGAGAGTTAAATAAGAAGATCAATACCAATCTCCACTGTGTACGGTCGATGTAAGACTAAAGCTGAGCATAAGGACTGGAAGCGGAGGGCACATCTAGCCTGTGACAAGACCCCTCATAAACTTGTACTGTATCTTGGGAATGGCATCAATTTTCTTAACTAACACTTTGCCATCAGTTGTACCAGAATGGGATGATACAGGGACAAAGAGCGCAAAACCTCAGCACATAAGTCCAAAACTCTCTGCGTGATCTGATGATAAAACTGGCTCTTCATGCACTTTCATGTACAGAATCATGCACTGTACAGTGTGATGCTGTTTATGCTATGATACAGTATACTGTTAATTATGCTGGTAAATTAAAATCTGGTAGGTTTACCCAGAACTGCATCCTGGATAAACCTGTCAGGTATCTGCTGTCATAGCGTTGTGAACATCTGTGTCCATGTGGCCTCAACAGATGTTGCAGATGTTTGGCTCTCCTCTAATGTCACACTGTATGATTCAAGTGTGATTTGGCACTCGCTATGTCCTGCCAGTGACCTGAAGATCTCTGCCTCCCTCTGCTGGAGGCAACACGAACAGCTCTGCACACCTGTACTCAACTCCACGCTGAAGGGTCAAGAAGATGGAACAAGCCTGGTAAGTTTGGTCTATCAGTGATAGACTCCTCATATAATAAAGCTTTCTCTAACACCCGCTGTGTCTGCTCGACAGATATACAACACATCAACAGTGGACAAACACCCTCAGATGTGTGTGCAGGTGAGAAGCAGCTAGATGTGCTTCCATTGAAAAATACAGTTGTCAGCTGTTTAGTTGTAGATTCACATAATTGTGCTTCATTTTGCAGTTTTTTCATCAAGGCAGATATAATATCTCATGTCCCTTCGAGGCTGGTAAGTTGATTTATTACTTTTTCTTCTGACTTTGATAAGTTTGTCTGTTTCCTTTTCCTGACTCTCTCTCCCCCTTGTCCTTCACAGATATGTCTTCATGGGAGGTGGCTATTACACTGGGCAGACAGAGTGTGTTTGTGTCGCTCTCCTCTTCTGTCCCAGCAATGTTCTCGGCTCAGTTGTGCGTCCTTAATGAGATGGGATGTGCGCCCACGGGGCCAGTCAGCACACTAACAGTGGTACGCATATATATATATATATATGTTTGTGAGACAGAACGAGGTAAAGCCTGATCTGTATTTTAATGTTGATGTGAGTAAATTTGTGACTGTTCTCATCCATTTCGCAGGAGGGGAGTATGACTGAAGCAAGGATCAATGTGCTTCCTCACCATCTTGTTCTGAAGCCGTGCGTACAGGTAAAGTGCATGTGACAATTTTGGGCAAGACTGAGAAAGGGGTTTCAGGACATGGTACATTTACTTTTTTGTTCTTCTCATTCTTCCAATCTGTTTGTCGCAGGTGTGGCAGTCAGATCCTGCTTTTCATGGAAGAAGAATTCTGTGTCCAGACTGTAAGTATACTCCAGATGTACTCACATGAGCCCAAGTATACAGTACTAGTACATACACTTTTGTGTTTCACTTCATGCTTGCATGCACACACACACACACACACACACACACACACACACACACACACACACACACAGCTCCTGCAAACTTAATAGATCCCCTGCCCTTTGTTTCCCACAGTGTGTCTCTCCACACGTTCACACACACACACACACACACACACACACACACACACACACACACACACACACACAGCTCCTGCAAACTTAATAGATCCCCTGCCCTTTGTTTCCCACAGACACGCGCAACAGATGTGGCTTATACACAGTGGTAGCTTTGATATTTGTGATTATTATTGCACTGCTGGGACGTTTCATTCACCAGCTCACCCAGAGTGGAGCTGCAGGTTAGTTCAGAACACATTTAATGCACTGGTTCATTTCATTTGAAAATCATTGTCTGAATCTTTGACTGTGTGTGTTTTTATCTTTGTTTTAATTTCTCTGTTGCATTGCCTCAATAGATTCCTTTTGGGTTTTTTGGAGGGTTGGTGTTGGGCTAATAGCAACTGTGCCAAAATTACCACCTTTAAGGAATAACTAAAATTTAGAAAATGATCCATGATCTCTTTTTTTATTTTTTGTCTTCCCCTGTCTTTTCTCATATTTCTAGGTTGGCTGTATATCCAGAAGCCAGTGCTGCTGGTGTGCTCATCGGAGCAGTCAGCCCATGTCTCTGCTGTGTGCACATTAGCCTCAATCCTGCAAGAGGAGCTAAGTGCCACAGTACACTTAGCCCTTTGGGCCCAAAGCTCACAAAGGCAGGCTGCGGCTGAGACAGGGACTGCAGTGGCAGATCTGGGTCCTCTTCCCTGGCTCTACGGGCAGTGGGAAGTAGTGCGTAAGGCACAAGGGAAAGTGCTGATTATTTGGAGTCCTGAGGCCAAGAAAACCTATGAGAAGCAGAGGGAGGAGAGGTCAAACAAGGATAAGAAAGACAGCAACAAAGCAGATGTGAGACATGTGAAAATCAGAGTATGTGTGGAAGAGGATTATAAACTAGATAGAAAAAGACTGGTTAAATGCAAAAAAGAAAAAGTGACAGGAACTGACTGTATTAAATTATATGATGATGAAAACCGGTACCCACAGAAGGCGCCCTCTGCAGTGATAACACCAGTGTTTGCAGCTGCTCTTTGCTGCCTAGAGGGGTCACTGCAGCAGTGCAAAGGTCAAGGAGTTGCTGTTGTCTATTTTCAGGGCCTTGGCCACAGCAGGGACATCCCAAAGGCCCTCAGAGGTATCCCTCGCTATTGCTTACCGCAGGACTTCAGGGGGTTAATACAGGAGCTGGGAGGGATGAGGAGACAGGCAACAACTGGTAAAGCTAGATGGCACTGCTGGCCCAGACTCTTGACTAAAGTCTTGTCAATATGGCTGGCACGACGGCTCGCCTACAGGCTCCAAACACTGCTGCCTCAAAATGCAGGGGCCGTCACATCAGAAAATGACATCAGCTAAGACGGAGCAGGCTCAAGTTGCCACTGGGAGTTCATGTTGCAGAGCCATGGACTATACAAGAGCATGAATCTCTCCATGAGCGGCCATAGGCAGCAAAGAGGCTTGAATCTAAAGTTTCACGTGTCTGTCAGGGACAGAACTTTTGTTGCGCTGGAAACATGATGCGTACTCGAGACACAGGAGCTGGTGTTCCATTGTGAGCACTTCAGATCCCGTCACTCACTAAGAACTATTCATTACTTGACACCATGTCAAAAATGTCTCCACCTCTTTTGCATATCAAGACAGAGCCTCTTTATGTTGCTCTCATGACTGAAGCCACGGTGAACACCTGTCTTGTAAATATGTTAACTGCTATGAAAATGTAGTTGCAAATCATACCTCACTTTCTCTTGAAAACTTTTAATGTTTGAAAGTGCTGTTAAAGCACAGGTGGCAAACTGTACTACTGCTGTTGACAGGAACAAATTTGCATGGGAGTCTTTGCTGTGTGGTATTTGTCATGTGTTCAAACTTTTTACATCTTTATTCTGAAATATTTTGAACCATTGCAAGTCTACCGCTGTCTGCAGCCCTATAATTAAATATTTGTACACGTACTACCTCCTATATTCACTCCTGTACAGTTACAATATATACAGTCAGTGATTGTTTTCCCCTCGGATATACTACATTTATTCATCCAGCAAATAGTAGCCTATTGAACAGTTGACTGATGGTCAAGGCTAAACTGCTTTTACTGTAAGCTGTTTATCAGCGTTCACAGTCTGTATTTTATAACCTGTATATGTTTTTCTTAAAACCGTTTTGCAAATGAGTTCACTGAAAAACCATGATGTTGGCAAGACACCAGTATTCTTAAGCTGCTTGACAGGGTTTATCAGGAAGTAAATTGTCAGTTGCAGTGCTTTACACTGTACGCTGAAACAACACATCCCCCAAAACATTGAGTGCAGCGTGTAAACGTTAGCTCTGGGACAGTAAGAAGCTGTGATGTTGACACTGAGTTCACGCAGACATCTTCCATTTTTAATAGGCTGACATACATTTTCATTCGTTTTATTGATCTCTTTCTGAAATGTAACTACAGTTATCAAATAAGTGTAGTGAGTAAAAAGTACAATATTTTATTCTAAAATTTAGCAAAGTATAAAGTAGACAGATCTCAGAATTGTACTTAAGTACAGTGCTTGAGTAGGTGTTACTTTCCAACTCTGTATAATTGTATGTTCACACTGGGCCACATAATTATGAAAACTACCAAATGGGTTTAAGATCCACGATGCACAGACTAACACACAGTTAGAACAGGTGTTAGAGCTCTAGTTAAAGAATAATACAGATCCTAATCTACAGGGGTGGACGTCATTCGCCCTGTTCACTTAGAAGTTAATGGTTAAACATTAGCACTCCAGCTGAAAACATTCAAGTAGCAAACTGCTATATTAATAGCAACTGGGTGCAAAGGTGGTCTAGAATTAATAGGAGAACCCTGTAACAAAATGGTAACATGTACAATTCCTGCACCAATATGTTAATCGTCAGCAATGTGCAATTATGCAATTCACTGAACCAGCACCCACTTCGACCTGGTAAGAGTTTCATGCACAAAAATAACATGAGATGAAGGCACACTGCCATGAGGCCCTTCACTTTCTTCACTGTTCCCATCACCCTGACCATATTTGACATTTCACCTTTTCAGCAGGTTTATTATTATTACAAACTGGCCTACTGTATGTTTACTTTAGCATCTGAATTTCGTTTGGAATTCACCAGTATAGCATCTGCTAACAGCCCAACCCCTGAGCTGTCAATCACTTGCAAGGATGCGTAGAAAAAAAATCACAGGAGCGCGACAACAAACAAGTCCTCCAACATAAACCACTGTAGTCTTGTCACGACAAGTGGCCCAGTGCCATTTCTCAGAGGAACTGACACGCTGTGCTGCAGGAGTGACTTTATTATTTTAGTTCCTGATAAGGGACCATTAGCCGTGGAGCAGAGGACGTGAACCAGAGAGTTTCTCAGAGCTGTGCCAGGTGCAGCAATGACTCTCACGCTCCTACGGGTGCCACATGTTTTCTTCCTGCTGCTGTGCTTCTGGCTGTTCTTGTCGGCAGGTGCGCTGGAAACGATTCACCAAGACATACCTGAGCTTATCTGTAGCGAGGTAATAAGTCACCATGATAATCCTTGGAAAAAGACTGTAACAGAATTACTTTATATGGCTGTAATATCTCTGTTTTGTGTTTGCATATATTATATACTTGGCAGTGAGTGTATAACGTCTATTATAATATATAGATCTAATCGTTTCTGTCATTTTTCTTGAGTAAGTTGTAAAACCATTTTCTCTGACATCATAAAATAGTAAAGAAAGCAGCCAGTGTCTGAAAATTCAGTTATTGTTTATTGTTTGGATTAAGTGTGTTACTATCTTTATTTACTGTTGTTTATTGTTGCCTGTGAAAAATGTACTCAGAAATACATAACGACAAACTTGAGTGTGCTGGCTTCGGGTTTTGGGTGGAAAAGGAGGGACAGCACAGACAAAGAGGGGGAGATCAGTTTAATGCCCATTACTTATTTACTGTTGTGCCCCAGCGTGACACCTTACTCCTACTGATCCATTTCCAAGAAGGGTTGTTTCAGCTTGAGTTTTGTCAGAGAAAATCAACCAGAGGCGACCTGAGTATATGTACAATAAAATCCATTACAGAACAGTTTGATGCTTTAGCTGTTTGAAAGACCTGTTGATTTAGCTTAACCTCTAGAGTCCCTGCGTCCTCATATGAGGACCGCACAGCTTGGGTTTCCAAAGCTCAGGACTCTAGAGGTTAATGACAGTTTTGGCTGACACTGACCCACCATCACTGTCATGGCAGGTACACTGCTATCATAAATGATAATAGTAACACTAACACTAATTATGTCTGCTGTGAAAAGTCTTGTTATTTAGTAACATTGCACTTATGTGTATATGTGGCCAATTTGTTAGGTAGACATAGATGAAATTAATGCCGTTTAATTCGAGTCCTGCAGTAAACTCTGCCTTCAAGAAGGTAGTGAGAGAGCTGTTGCATTGTACTGCATTATACCAAGAGGTGCTTCTGTTTTCTTTATGAAGCTGCTGCTATGTTCATCACTAATGCAATATTGGCCCTTACTCTACACAGTGAACACTTTAACTCAGGCATTGTGCTTGTATTTGAGTTGATTTTACTTATGCCAAGGATCTGGCTACCTCTTTCACCACTGTTTACCTCAGTGCTAGTCATGCCATGTTTCATAATGGTTACTGAGTTCTCCGATTCTCGTTAACATCTTTTCTTTCTTCAGGGTTTGACCGACTGCTTTGTGAGCTCAGGTAGCAACATGATCAACATCACTATATCACATATTATGGAAACAAACTCACACTAGAATAAATCTGCAGTTTGTCTAAAGCAGAAAAGTTCTTCTTTCTGCAGCCTTTCCTTGCCTTGATGTGCTGCCTGATCCCAGTGTTACAATGAATGTTACACATGTGCAGCTTGAAGCGATTCTGTGCTGTCCAGCCGCACACAGCTGCCAACTTTGCCTGCAAATCAACATCACAGTCGAAGGTAGCTTTGTCATAAACCTTGTGTTTGGTATTATCAGCAAGGGTGGCACACCTTGATTTTTTCTTAATTTGTCCTGATCACATCATGTAGTTTCCTCATTACAGTAAATGTTTTGTTTGTACTGCTATTATTAAATCTTTTCTTGAGTAGACAACATTGATCCTAGTTGTTTCACATAACAAAGGTTAAATAAATTACTGACTGTGACTGCATTGCACATATTGTTGCAGAAGTGCTTAATGCATTGGATGTTTCTGAGGAGTCTGGTGATCATACTAATGAAGCAGAGTTCTTGGGAATGGCAGAGGGAAGTGGTCAGTTTGTGCTTTCTGAACCAAGAGGTATGAAATCATAAGCTCAACCCAAAACATGCACAAAGTCACACCATTTCATTTCTATGGATTATGTTGTATTTTTTAAAAATACAAATCACAGTTTACTGTTCATCTTCTCTGCTCTTTTTATAACAGCTTTGGTGCAAGTGTGTCTCAGCTCCCCACACTCCATGGAAATTAGCAAGATGCTGCAGTTTACACTAAGCCACACACAGCCCACACATAAGGTAGTAACTATTGGGCAGGTGTGAAGAACTTATCACATGTAGTTATTGTTTCTGTTGTTAATGAATTAATTAGTCTCCAGTGGAAAAAAGTAACTAAGTTGTTTTGTCCAAGACCTGAATTAGTCAAATTTTTAGGTACTTGGATTCAGATCAATTGTATTTTACTTTAGTTGCACTCCAAAATGAAATTATGTACATTTTCTCCACTTCTATTTGATAAATATAGTTAGTATTACAATAAAAAATGATAAGCTTAGAAAATACAACAGTGTATAGCTCAGACTAGAAAAAAATGTAGGAGAAAAGACGTAAAAATGAAAGCAGTTGTTAAACTTGGTTTTGTTTGTTATTCCTCTTTATCATATGACTGTTGAGATTTTTCTGGAGACCCATAGGTGGAGCCTGTAAATTAGCTTTATCTCAACCAGTTGCCATAGTAATACTGGTTATTCATTGATGCATCAGTATTAACAATCTAATGATATCATCAGTCACAAGACACCGTTTACTGTAGAATCCATACTGTTTCATTTGATACTTTGCTGATGTATCAACTTTTACTCAAGCAGAAATTTGAATGCAGGACTTTTACTTGTAATAGAGTATTTTTACATTGTTGTATTTATCCTTTTATTTAAATGTGAATATTTTCCCCAGCACTCACTGCCTTGCATTCCTACCTACTGAACTGCTCAGAGACTAGTTTCTAAATGATCTTTGTCTTGTTTATTGTTACTGAGTGATTCAAAGTTTACAATGTGCACATATTTCCTGCAAATGCAGCTGCTTTTGACGGAGAAAGTGAAGTTTGGCAGTCCTCTTCTGGTCACTGTCAACACGCGATCGAAGAGCACTTACAAAACAGTCACACTCCCATCTTTAGAAGAAGGTGAGGTGAAGTGCTGTGATGTAATTAAAGGCGTGCTGAATTGCTGAGTAATGTCAATAAATATCTGCTTCTCTTTCTTTATTTCAGTTTGCTCCATGAACCTAGAGGGAGCTGTAAAGGCATGTGATGGTAAGAGATATTGTCAAATCGCAAACGGTCTTTGTAGGCAACAATACTAATATAACAGGTGTTCCCTGTGTACATGCTGACGAGAATGCACAAGTGCCAGAAAAAACAGTCTTGTGTAACTTATAAAGTGATAAAGGTGCAGCTTATTTATGACTGGTGTCTTTGTGTCAGCTCCCAGTCTCCGAGTCGAGACTGATCATAAGACAAATGCGGTCCTCCTCCAACTGGAAGACACCGACATCAGTCAAGATGAGGTTATGTTCCAAATGGTTTGGAATGAAATGCCTGGAGAGGTTTTTGCATGGGTCAGTCATATGTATTATCCAGACAGTGTATTCATAGCAATCTGTTACTCCAAAAACAATATCGACTGTGTAACTTTTCTTTACCTTTGCAGCCCAAAGGCAAGAGAGAAATGGTCATTTCATCAGGCTTTGTTGCACCATGCCTCTGCTTCCAGGTAGCTGACATGTTCATTGTGACAGACATTATATAAGAACTTCAGATGGGTTTTTTTTTTAAATAACATAAATAAAAACTTTTGTTTTAGGTGTGGAAGAAGAAAAAAGAGCTTCGAAGAAATTTCTGCCCTTTCAAAGACCAACAAGGTAAACAAAATCCACCGAGGTCAGTGTCAGATCAAGGTACATTTACATGGTAATAGATGCACAACATAGCGATGTGTGTGTTTGTGTGCTTTTCTTTTTTTCAGATGCACTTGAAAGGATGCAGCACAATGTGTCTGTGACTGTGGTGGAATCTCCACTGAGGGATGGCGGCACAGGGCTGAGCTGGAATGTCACTGCCCCCTGCAGACTGGATGCAGAGGTGTGGCTGTGCAAAAAGGACCCGACAGGAGGCCAGTGTGAAGAAGTGATGGGCTCCAGACAGACACTGCAAAGCAAAGATGCAGGCTGGTGTGCAACACGCAATGGACACTGGGTAAAAACAGCAAAAACCCAAAGCAGCATTTCCTCTTAGGCTATATATGCATCCTGTTTCCTTTGCATTTTATTGTTATTTCAAACTTATTTTCCATCATTGGAAACAGCATTTTGCCACATTTTCTTTTTGTGTAAAAATTACAGTTATATGAAGATTTAAAAAAGGAAGTACTGTACATTTATGCCAAAAAATAATATGCAAAGACTGGTGTTAGGGATGCTATGAATAGGATGCAAATTTGGTAAACTTGGAAACTGCACATTGGAGCATTCTTTTAAAGTTAAATTTTAACGGCCTCATCATGCTCAGAGTCTGTCTGTACTGTGTTCATTTAGTTTAAATTGGAGCAATTATATAATATAAAAAACTGCTGAGATGATCAATACATAACTCAATTTTAAGTTTAGTGTGAAGTCTGTGAGCTTATTTACAACACATTGATTAATTTTAAATTGATTCATTTACTTCTTCATTCAATTTTCAGAAAACAGGGGAGTTCAACGTGCCATCACATCCTCTGCTTTGTGTTGAGGTGAGCAACTATCATATAAATGAAATACAATATTACATATTACTGTAAACATTTTAATGACTGCTTCCTACTAGCCATACTGTATTATCATTTTTAGATAAAGATACAAAGGATGGAGTCCTACTTAGAGCCCCAGTGTCCATTTGCAAGTAATACTATTAATTATTGTCTAAACCCAGATGAATGGAATGTAATGTGTAACTCTTATCAGCTAAAACAAGCTACACATGTGGTAAATAATTTATTCTTCCAGCATCTCGATGGAGATGGAGTCTGCCTCTCCTCACTGGATCACTGCTGACGTGTGTGGCCCTACTAGGAGCCTATTTTATACAAGGGGTCCTAAAGGGTCAGTCATCTATCACTGTAAATCATTAGATATTAACAGCACCTCAGCAAAGCACCTCAATGTTTGCTCTGTTTTCCTTTTAGGTTACATGTGGAGATGGTTGAAAGATGACGACGTTAAAGGTATGTGAAATTCTGACAACCGGTTGAGACTGACTGTCCTCTGAATACTGTTAATATTAAATGTTCATAATTTCATTCATACATTTGTAGAGATGTATTAATAATGTTCTTGTGTTTAAAGTATTACTTGCAGGTGTTACTCTTTTTTCCTATTGCTACTTTTTGCTGCTATTGTGCCTCATTCTACTCTGCAGTAATAAAAACAAAATTATTTCCTGTTATCTTAGCTCATATTGTAAATATTCTTAAAGGGATAGTTAGACATTTTGGGAAATACACCTATTCACTTTCTGATGAGAAGGTCCTTATATCTGTCTGTTAAATATAAGGCTACAGACAAAGAATAGAAACATCCACCAGTGAACAGCGGAGAATGACACCAACCAAGAAACAGCCTTACACATAACCCCATAGAAAATGGCACATTGTTGGTTTTACACTTTGTTTTTTGTAACAATTAAATGTGTTTATTTGTGAGCTTTAGTGGTGCCAGTGGGTAGACTTTGTAATAACCGAACAGAGCCTGTCTAGCTGTTCACTTCTGTTTCTAGTCTAGGTGCTAAGCTAAGCTAATTGTCTCCAGGCAGTAGTATTGTATCTAACAAAAAGACAGGAGAGGGGTATCAACCTGCTCATCTTAATCTCTGCCAGATTGCAAACAACCACATTTCTCAAAATATCAGACCATTCTTTTATACTTTATTAAACCTTTTAATCTTTCTTTATTTCAGGAGCTGTGGGTGGCGGTCATGTGGTGCTGCTATACTCACCTGATGACAGTCAGGCTTTGCCAGGGTTGATGTGTCACCTGGGCTTGTCCCTCCAGGACCTGGGTTTCAGTGTGTCTCTAGACCTGTGGAGCCAGGCTGAGCTCAGCATACTGGGCCCCGTACCTTGGCTCCACTCAAGACTGGATCGACTGAAAAGGCAGGGGGGCAAAGTGGTGCTAATTCTAACCCAGGCTGCCTGGATAAGGGCCGAACAATGGGGAGCACAGAGCTGGGAGAAAACCACTTCCAGGGAGAGGAACATGGACACAGAGGAAGAGGAGACAGGAAGGAGCTACCGTGTTCCCTGTGTAGATGTCTTTAATGCTTCACTGAGCTGCATTCTAGCAGACTATTTACAGGGCCGTGCTGGGGAGCGGTTTATGTTGGTGCAGTTTGAATCGCTTCCACCTAAGCCTCCAAGTGCTTTTTGGCCACTGCCCGAACTCTTCCGCGGCCTCCATTTCTACAGCCTCCCCTCCCAGAGCCTTGGTTTTCTGACTGAACTGGCCGGGGCTCAGCAAGTGACCACAGCATCAGCCAGACGTAAGAGGGCTGGGGGACTCAGGATGGCATCCCGAGCTCTGGCAAGAGGGCTGTCAGGGTTCTCAGCAGGGACTACTGTATTACGTCTTGCTGGGATGCCCCAGAGTTGTGTTGGGGTAGGAGTAGAAGACTCTGGGGAAATGGTGCCTTTGCAGTCATGTCTTATTACGCCCCCCTCCAGCCCTGACACAAGCCCTAGGGTCACTGAAATGGAATGGGTCTGACAGCAGGGGAAAAAGACCAAACAGGCTGCAGTTTTGGAATAAACAGTCAGTAATGACTTGAAAGAACCACAAGTGATACTCTGAGATGCTCTTATAAATCAGTATCAGTTTTTAATGTTTGTATTTGACTGGCGACCTGTCCAGGGTGTACGCCACCTCTCGCTCAGTGTCAGGATAAGCAGTTTTATATAATGGATGGATGTTTCTAAACATCAGTTTCATGTGTCTGACAGCAGAAATAGTAGCTTGTTTTTCAAATAAATGCTGAGTTGACGCTGATACAAGAAATTACAGTACACAACATTAAAGCCTCACACTACTTAGAAAAGAAAATTCAAAGAAAAAAAAAGACTAGAGTAAACCAGTTAACCAAGCTACCGTGTGTGTTTGACATAGCATTTCACTTTCTGCAAACACATGTATTGTATAAAAAGGTCCTAAAAAGAAAAAAGTGTCAGAAATATGCTATTTTCTTTATGTGAGTTTATACATAGAAACTGTATATTACTATAGTACTATGTTGTGTCCCTACTGTTTAAAGTGGGGTTGAATAAACAATGTGTCTTGTACAAAAATTTAATTTAGGATGTGTGTTTACAGAGAAACATTCTTATTAACATGCAGAAAAATGTTTCAGATAGGATTATCCCCCAAATCCTAAAATTCATAAACTGTGGCACATGTAGCTGCAGCAGATTTAAAAAAAATGATGTTAAAGTTACAGCAAAACTGGATGATTTGTTACAGGAACCCACAAGCTGCCTCCTACTTTGGGGTATTTGGTCGTTTGCTAAATTATTATATCTCTGGGGGACACTCTGCATTACAACCTACCCTTAAAGCTGTCTCTGCACAGCTGGTTCATAGGTTTTGACCTGTAAAAATGAATAGGAACAGAACAAATGTAGGCTACAAGCATACATGTTGGCAAGAGGTTCAGTAAAGCATTGTAAAATTTGAGTTTCCTAGATCTACATTATTTGAAAATGAAAAGTTAAGTATGTTTGTCATGATAAAAAGGTAAAATAGGGAATTCAAATGAAGCATACTAAATTTGTGGTTGGTGGAAAAGTCATATTAGTCAAGCACTTTTTTGAATTTCTTATTTTTAGGCATTTTAAAAGAGTCTACTGAGCTAAGAAATATATATCTTCTTGCTTTTGTGGAACAGTTATAAACATTTGATTATGTGGCAAAAGAAAAAAAGTTTCTTAGGCTAAAGCTGAGTTGATTTTGTCAAATAAATAAAGATAAAGATCAACAGACCTCACACACAGAAGTAGGGTCGCTCATACCGTGTTTGGAAGAATTGCTGTAGCCTAATATACATATAATATATGTGCCATGCAGACCGAAACCTGTAATAGGCCTACCAAATTAACTTGCAAACGTAAGCGGGTGAAATCTAGACGGGTTCACCAACAGAATGCATCGTCTCACTGCAGACATCGGTGACAGTGTCAGCCTGTGTGAAGTTTAGTGCTGAGTGACTGCCTGCTGAGTTCAGTCCCACGGGTTTAGGCGGTGCCGTACATCCCGTGTGGCTCCGCTGTCTGAGAATCAACTGGAAGCTGCTCATTCATCCGTGTTAGCGCCGCCCTTAGCACTAACGCTACCTGAACTGTGTGAGCAGCACTGATGTTAGCTGGCTGGTCATCCAGCCGGCAGGCCGTTGCTTTGGGGGTTCAACAAAAACGGCACGTTTGAACCTTTAAGACCGGCTCCCCAAAATGTGAAACTTTAACTGCATTGCGTGAACTAGCGGGGAATCAGACAATCATCAGTGGTGCAGCGGACACGGTTGATCTGCAGTAATGTAAGTTAACGTTATGATCAGAGTAGCCATAAAAGCAGTCAGGCGGACTAATTTCAGTAGAGCTGCAGTAAAGATTACTTAGCAGGTGTGCATTGTTAAATACTCTTTAAAACACTATTGTTTAAATATCACTGTCGCTGAGTTGATCAAACTGTAAAGATACACCAGACAGATTAGCAGTACTAGCTTTGGCTAACAGCTAACTACCGACCTTAGCTAGCTGCTAGTTGGCTAATTTCGTGTGGTGCTGATGCTGAGGTAGCTAAGCTAACGCTGAAGCTAGAGCATCACAACCAGGCTAAGACGTGTCTTTTAAAGGTTTCTAACAACACTGAACACGCTATAATATAGTTGAAAGCAGGTGTGTGTATTAATGTATTTGTCAACAACTCTAACTCCTGTGGACATTGAATGTCCATGTAGTAAAAAACTGTAATATGTTTATACAAGAGATGTTCTACTTTTAACACTGTAAATTAATAAACACTTAAAATGTTCTTGTAGCTTCTTACAATGCTAATTTTAAATACAGGGACATACAGTGAAATGTTGTTATTTGTTGAAAGTATAGATATTGTTAATGAAACTTGCTCTGCTGATAACTGAGTAGTATTTAAACCCAAACTATTTGAAAGAAAATTTGCATTACATACTGATTTTGTGTGTGTTACCTCTGAAGGATCATGTGGTGTGCCTGGCCATTCCTACCTGCTCTGGTGCTTCTCTCAGAGCTCTCTGTGGTGAGGGTCCAGACGGCACCATGCCAGACCTGTCGAAAACTCACTGAGAGTTTCATTAAGGTGCTGCAGTTAACTTAATAACCCATCACTTCATGTTTGTCTTCTGAGTCAAATGTTTAGGTATTCTGAGTCCTGAAACATCTCTTTTTAGGGCTTAGAGAACACAGCCAACAAGAACTTTGGGGGCGGTAACACAGCCTGGGAAGAAGAGAAGCTGGCTAAATATGCTCGCAGGTAGGATTTTTGAAAATCAAGACTTTATAATTTATTTACTTCATCTGAAGTCAGTACTTTGTACATGCAAAACAGTTTGTCTAAACTTGTGACTTAGATGAAGACTAGTTAATGCAGAAAATTGGGTAATTCCTAGGAGTTTGCGACTTGTTCTTGGCACTGTAATGCAAATTCTCTGTAATATCAAATGTGTTTCTGTTGTTAGATGCCCAACTCTAACCTTAATCTTTCTGTTATTTGTATTACTTGAACCATCCTGAATAATTCCATTCAGTTTCTGGATTCCTTTGTCTACCCTGCAATTATATATAATACTTTGTAATGTGTGAGTGATTTTTGGCCCAGAGCAAGGCTACCCCATTTTTGTGAATGAGGGGATTTCTGCTATCATTCAACTACTGTCTTACATCTCTAATTGTTGACTTCTTGTGTTAGTGAGACTCGGCTCCTAGAGATAGTGGAGGCTGCCTGTGAGAAAACAGATTTTGAATGTAATCGGCTGCTGGAGCAGATAGAAGACCAAGTTGAGACATGGTGGTTCCACAGGTAAATGCGCTGTGTACATAATAATCAAACTGAACTGTACTTTTGTTTTACTTCTTTCATTCAGCCTGACATGTTGGTTGATTTTTGTTTTTTTTGTTCCAGTTGCAGAGAAGCTATGGTAGCTGTTGCTAGTAGTATTAATTTTTGAGCGTCAATTTTTGGTGACACCTGTCACCAATTCTTTGGCTCCTTTTCATGAATGTAGCTAGGTAGCTAGCAAGTCATGGACCAAAATGACCCCGACATTCTTAATCCTGCCTACAACGCTTGGCCTGGATGGGCTGACAGCTTCTCCAGCTGGCAGAAACAGTCTTTAATAGGCTCAACAGTAGACCTTTATGAATCACTGAGCAAATTCAAGGTCTGACTCAGAGGTCGTGAACCAGGCTAGTGTGTGCATCATGTAGTAGAAAATAACCTTTTGTTAATCACAGTTAATTCTGTTTTAGCTACAATTTTCACAGAAAAATAAAAGTTAGGAATTTTACAAGGACCAAAATCAAATTATAGAGTTAGTGTGGACTGTCTTACATTTGGATAAGTTGTCTTTAAATAAGGTCTATACCCACATTTTATTTATTTAATACTGGGAGTGTGTTGGCACCAGCTTTGTGTTATTGTTAAGATGGATCATTGTGCCCCTGTTTGTGTCCTGTAGGCAGCAGGAGGCACCAGACCTCTTTGAGTGGCTGTGCATAGAGGAGCTGAGACTGTGCTGTCCTCCTGGACACTTTGGGCCTGACTGCAAAGGTGTGAAACACATAGAGCATCAACACAAGCTACCTGATTTTACCACACTTAACCTGCTTATGACACACAGATTTCACTGAGATGTATAATTCAGTGAATATAATTGGAATCAAAGATTTGCTCTCCAGAGTACCGCTAACGGCATGTTCACCCAATACAGAGTGCCCATCAGGCCCTGGTGGTGTGTGTGGAGGTCTGGGTCGCTGTGAGGGGGAGGGGACCCGGCTGGGAGATGGGGAGTGCGTCTGTGATCCTGGATACTCTGGCCATCTGTGCCAGAGCTGTGCTGATGGCTACTACAGAGAGAAAAGCTCAAATGACAGCACAGGAGCCTGTGCAGGTGCCTCTGACTGGGAGAACCGTTTCAGCCCTCTCTACATACATTTTGTTTGAGGTTGTCTAAAAACTGACTTTCTCACTGTCGCTGTGCCTCTCATCCAGCTTGCTACCATTCATGTAAGAAATGCTCAGGACCACAGGACTACAAATGCCTTGACTGCAAGCCTGGCTGGATCCTTCATGACAACAAGTGTGTGGGTGAGTGTGGCTTTAGAGGCTATGTGGTAACATTTCACTGAGTCGGTGCTGGTTTTTTGGATGCGTGTTGTTTGACTGCCCTTATAATGTCCCCCAGACATTGACGAGTGTGGTACAGAGCTGGCCCGTTGTCCTTCTAACACATACTGTCACAACACAGATGGATCATATGAATGCAGAGGTAGGCTCTCTTGTGTAGTTGCTGTTTAAGTTCATGCTTTCACTGTATTGTAGAGTACCTAATGAATGCATGTGCGATCTTCATCCCTGAAGATCTGTGGATTTCTGTAGCTGGTTACATTTGCAAAATTGAGATTATAATAATTTAAGAAAAACCTTTTATTCTTTTTTTGTTTGTAAAATGTCAGAAAATAGTGTCATTTCCTACAGTTCAAGGAATTTTTATTCAAACAACTGTGCAAAATTCAAAGGCAATCAGTTTACAGTTTCATATATAACAAAGAAAAGCAGCAGATGTTCACATTTGAGAACGTAGAACCAGTGAGTGTTTGGCATTTTTGCTTGGAAAATGCATAAAATGATCATTCAGTTATCAGAATGGTTCCTCATTAATTTCCTGTCAGCTAATCATTACAGTTATAGTTGTGTGGTTAGTGAAAACATCACTAGCTGTAGTTTTTCTGGAGCGACTATTTGAGAATATTTGTGACATTCTTGCAGCTGTCAGTATAGCACTTAATGGCCACTTTAGCATGTAATCTTGACTACTCTGCTTTTACTTTACCCAGGCTGTGACCAAGCATGTGTGGGCTGTATGGGTAGTGGTCCTGCCCGCTGTAAGAAATGTGCACGTGGATACAGATTGAAAGGGGCCAAGTGTCTTGGTAAACATATGCTACTTAACTACTAAATTTGCACATGGTATTGCCTTTTTACTTCTCTCAATGCCCATAAAAAGTTTCTCCCCGCCTCCTCTCACAGATATAGATGAATGCAGTGAACGTGCAATAGCATGCCCAGGGCTCAATGAGGCGTGTATCAACGAGGAGGGCTCCTTTCACTGTGAATGTGCCGATGGATTCATCAGAAGAGACAGCATTTGTGTTGAGAATAAGCCTCCTGGTAAGTAATCACAGTAGTAAATATGCATACGTTGCTGACATCTTCTCTAGATCTATTGGCTAAGCTTTTTTTTTTCCTCTACCTCAGCTGACCCAGAGAAGGGACTGTTTGATGACATGACAGATGATGAGGTCCTTGTGCTGCAGCAGATGTTCTTTGGCGTTGTAATCTGTGCCCTAGCTACACTTGCTGCTAAGGGTGACATGGTTTTTACTGCCATTTTCATTGGAGGCGTGGCTGCTATGGCTGGATACTGGCTGACAGAGAAGGGAGACTACATGCTGGATGGATTCCTGAAAGGACGTTAGGCTGTCTGGTGCCACGATTTAATGAAAGGACCTTGGAATTCCAGACAGTAAAGGTAAATAGCAGGAAACTCTTCCTACAGTGCTAGTGTTTCAGGGATCTAATTTGATTTGGGGAGTTACTTGAAAGGTCTCAGGTTCATTTATGTTTATGAATAGGATAATGCAGGAAAAAGTGAGAACTTGAAGGCTATGAAGCCGTAAACCTAGAAGAGGACATAACACTGCACTGCTAGAAGGGAACAGAACTTAATCCCCTACCTCACCATTGTTGGGAACAAAGGTGAAGACCGCTACTGATTGTTATGCATTTGGAAGTTTCATCTGGCTTCAATGTTGCTCAAGAAATGAATTTTTCTTCCACTCAATCAAAACCTCCAGTCATCATGTTTGATGCTTCACCACGTCAGCACTGTGAAGCAGAGGTTTTCTCCTTGATCTGAATGGTACACTGGTTTTGACTGTGTCGGGCTACTGCAATACTTAAGCTTCTTGCTATGGACATGAGATTAGATGAGGAAATTTTTATAAATATTCTATATCAACCAAAAAAGAAAGCTCATCAAAACTCTAGGATATTTCCATCATTATACCACTGGTTGTTCATGTTCACAGAATGGCTTTTACCTCCTCACTTCTGGAATGATTTTTGTAGTAATAATGCATGAAAATAGGTCTTCAAATGAAAGGTACTACTCCATATTTATTTATTTATCTTACTTTGGCATGGAAGACTTTTAACAGCTGTTGGTTTGCAGACATTATAGCTATTGACCACTAAATGAGCATTTGAGGGAATGTGCTTAGGTAAACACCAGCTCTAATTTGGATGATGCAAGCTGTTTTTCTGTTGCCTTGAATTTGTTTTAAAATATTTATTTGGAAGATGTTTATATTTTGCTTTCAACATTTTTGTGTGTACTTAGTTTTTTTAATGTGTTCAGTTGCTATTCTAGCAAATACAGTAGCAACATGTTAGAAAGTCACTGAAGAATCACTTCCTCGGCGTGGAAACCTGTGCACAGACTCACTGGTCATTACATATGTTTGCTTTACAACAAAAACTCTGACTCTTTGTGTTTTTAATTTTTAGTTTAATGATGCCAAGCTTCCTTTGCTCTTTACATAAGCAGAATAAGAAAAAAAACATTCTAGCTTGGGGAAAGTTATTTTCTACAATTGCATGATGCATGATAAAATGTGGGATATGCAGGAGATCAGTGAGTGGGAGAAACCTTTCAAGGGGAACCGTTTTACACATCAAAGTCTGTTTACAGGTTTTGTGGAGTACTGCTGCATATGTTTAAAAAAGTTGTATGAAGACCTTTATGGCTTCACAGAGAACTGCATGAAATCCAATTTTTAACATTTATTTTGGGGCTGAAGACTGCCAGGTTGAAAATTAATTAAACAAACAAAAACTGGACTTGTGAGCTTACCAGACCTGTAGCCTGCTCTTCACCTGTTTGGGGCTTGAGGCTACATTAACTGCTCCTGGTATACCACACCCGGATCTCCAACAGAACCGCTGATGGTCATGTATGTGGCACCAGTTTAGAACCATAGACTCAGTATGGTTCTAACAAGGAAGAAGAGTGTGTGGGAGAAAAAAAAAAAAAAAAAAAAAAAAAAAAAAAAAGAGTATTTCTGGTTGAATTTTGCTACTTTGTTTAAAAACTGGCCATCATAAGTCATACAGTGTTTTAGGAGTGCAATGCTAAATTGTGGAATATTTTTTGAGTCTTGGATTTATTGTATTAAAGCCCATGGCGGCAGATAAGAGAACCTTATTAAGTAAGATCTGAAATACCTCGCCTTTCTCGGATCCAGATTAGAAGACTCTAGAAATATAAGTTCCTTCAGTGGCTATCACAGCAATATTTACAATGGGTACGGAAAGTATTCAGACCCCCTTAAATGTTTTACTCTTTGTTATATTGCAGCCATATGCTAAAATCATTTAATTTTTTTCCTCATTAATGTACACACAGCACCCCATAATGACAGAAAAACACAGAATTTTTGACATTTTTGCAGATTTATTAAAAAAGAAAAACTGAAATATCACATGGTCATAAGTATTCAGACCCTTTGCTGTGACACTCATATATTTAACTTAGGTGCTGTCCATTTCTTCTGATCATCCCTGAGATGGTTCTACACCTTCATTTGAGTCCAACTGTGTTTGATTATACTGATTGGATGTGATTAGGAAAGCCACACACCTGTCTATATAAGACCCTACAGCTCACAGTGCA